TTTAAGAGGACTGTTTCAGGCCAAGGTAAGAAGACTGATAGGAACAATAGTCCTGTTTATTACTGTTATTATCTCAGCTGCTTTTGATTTTGTCTTATAGTAGAATGAGACATCACATGGAAACATTTCATGTTGTTGGCATTATTTATTTCTTGGCTAAGACTGCAAATGCACACTGACCTGTGAGGATACTGCACTGTAAGTAGTAAGCAGATCATATATTATTGTATTAACAATGAACTGAAATAGACTTCAATGTGTCATTTTTGTGCACTTTCTTTATCTTTCAGGTGTTTAGTCTTCCACCTGCATATCCCCTGGATCACGATGGAATTTGGGCCTTCAAAGAATTTCTCCCATAATGTATTCTTTTTAACAGGATTTACCTCACTAAAAGAGTACAGAACACTCCTTTTCATTCCCTTCTGCATCTTGTTCATCTTTGCGATCTTGACTAATGCTGCCCTTGTATCAGTCATTGCAAAACAGAGGACACTTCACTCTCCAATGTATGTGCTGATATGTTTCATAGCATGTGTGGATATATGTGTCCCAACTTGTGTTGTCCCACGAATGTTATTTAGCTTCGTATCAGGGATCAATGCTTGGCCTCGCACGTTATGCCTCATCCAGATGTTTCTTGTTCACTATGCTTGTAGTTTTCAGTCGACTATCTTGTTTGGGATGGCTGTAGATCGCTACTTTGCCATCTGCATGCCACTGCGGTACAATGATGTCATGAACTTCACAAACTGTATGATAATCACGGGTGTCATTGTAGTGCGTAACACAATCATTATAACAGCCATGATTGCGCTGGTTGGAACACTTACGTTCTGTTCTTCCAATGTTCTCTATCATGTTCACTGTGAGCATCAGTTGGTGGTCACTTTGGCAATCCCCTGTGAGGACACAACAAAGAACTACTTGGCTGGTTTGATCAGTTTCTGTGTGCCTACTATCGACTGTGTTGGAATCGCTTTGTCTTATATAACTATATTTGTCATAATTTTTCGGTCTGCAGCTGGAGAATCGCGCTCCAAAGCCATCTCGACTTGTACCACACATTTAATAGTCATCTGCATCACTTACTTCTCCTCCATGGTGGCCTTCCTGGCCTACAGAATCCAGTCGGGCCTTACTCCCGACCTGCGTGTCCTTATCAGTCTCATGTATCTTCTTCTTCCTGGTGTCTGTAATCCAGTCATCTATGGCATCAGGACTAAAGAAATACGGGACCAATTTATTAAACTTCTTCAGGTTAATAAAGTTAGTGTTTCCTGATTACTCTCATAGGATGACACCAAGAAATCCATGTATTAAAGTAAACAAAGCATGATATACAAAGTGCTATTTTTTTAAGACCTTGGATCAACGAACATGTTAATGATTAGCATAAGTAAATCTTTGATATACATTGTGCATTGAGAGGATTTTTTTTGGCCAGTAGTGTCTAAACTTTATGTTAGAGCTGTACTGATCCATCACAAAGAGTTTCAGTCATATGCAAATGTTTGAGTGGCTCTGCTCCCTGGTGATGACATGTTTTCTTGATTTTCTAAGTGCAAGTAAGTTAACACATCCTCTACAAAGAACACACACTTCTGTGCATCTTAATGCACAATTACTGTTTATTAGCTGAATTTAATACATTGGAAAAAAGTAAAAAACATAAAACATTGTATGAGCAGAACTTATAGCACATTTTAAATTAAACAGCAAATAAATAGAAATTGTGCACTACAATTAGCAGACAAATGTCATATGTGTGTTTTCTGTAGAGCATGTTAACTAATTTGCACTTAGAAAATTTTTAGAGCACTGGTGTTCAAACTCAAATGTACTGTCTAACTGCACAATGTAATAAATAAGAGTTCGATTAGAAATTTGCCTCTAGATGTAAAACTCCACTTTGTATGATTTTAATTTCCAGTTTCAGTGAGAACCACTGATCTCATTCACACATTTATGTGCATGCCTCTATTACACATTAAACACTGATGGTATGATATTATTTGACAGCAGTCACTGCTAGCTCACTGCAATGATTTGGACCTTTTAAAAAAATAAAGAGTGGTGAAAACTGTTCATCTTGAAAAAAAGGCTTTTATTGAAAGGATTTAATGCATTTAGAGCTTCAGTAAGAAAGAAAAGACATTCTGAGGACAAATAATATACAAAGTGCTGTTTTTAAGACTTAAGATTAACAAATATGTTAATGATTAGCATAAGTAAATCTTTGATATACATTGTGTATTGAGGGCAGTTAAACCGTTTTCTCTGCACAGTAATGTCTAAACTTGATGGTGGATCTATATTGATCCAGCACAAATATTTACAGTCGTATCTACTCAGTGAGGCCAATACACACCTGACACACATTCTCACCTGACTAGTCCCTACAGTGATAATGTTCAGAAATAACATTTAATAGCATATAACAGTTTCACTGCATGTAAATCACAGCTGAACGTACACAGTGCTCAAAATGCATACCATAATATCTACACCAGCACATCTACACTAGTTTAATCAAAGCACCCTGTCACTGCGAGCTTGAAACATGAAGCCAAAGACAGTATCTGTTACTGCTTTTGAAGCAGACTTAAAAAACCTTATTAGATCCTTAAGATACAGCACAAATAAGCATAATGACTGATTGAGTGCTGTTCAGCTTCACCTAAAATAACAGCAACACATTATCTGAACAGCCCCCTGTAGATGCTTTGTAGAAGCTGACTTTGCCTTTAACTTGCATTAAACTAATTATCGATAGATTTACCTTAATTTCTCCCAACCCTAAACCTAACATTCACTCTAACTCTGACCTTAACCTCAAGCCAAAACCTAAACCTATCCCCAGTCCTAAAGCCTAATCCTAACACTGCTGAGAAACAACTGTTTCACCACGCAGTTTATTAACACTATTTTTGTGTTTGAACAAAAGAAAGAACAAAGGAAAATAGCATAAAGTCCAATGTACATAAAGTCCAATGTACAACCAAACACAGGCAAAAATATCATTATTATATAATCTTCCATAAATGAGAAATTTTCATTGAAAAAGTTAAGTATTTGCAGCGCATCTCACAATGTTTATCATCACCCTCTCCAAGATTATATGATGAATTTATAAACTATTATCTATCGATTATCTTTTTTGCATCCAAACATTGTGCAGCTCACTATAAATATGATAAATAATCTAATAAATAAGTGTCAATCACTGAGGAACAGGTTACAACGCTACATTTTTGGAGGAACATGCATTAAATTGATTTGTCATATTAACTTCTGACAAATATCTGACTAGGTCCTTGGGTATCGACAGACATTCTTCCATTTCTGAAACAAGATCTATCATATAATGTATAACCAGTGCTGAAATTCACTGTGGATGTTGGGTTCTCTTGGATTTTAATTCATCTAACAAGCTCATTAAATGCTGGCACCTAATTAGAGTGTATCTCCAATTTAGTCTGCCTTTGGGGATAAATGTTGTTATCCCCGAAGGCTTAAACCAGAACAAACACTTCCTATTTGGATTAAAATGGATTAAAATGCATTTTGACTGGTTCTGTAAATAATGAGTTAATTTAATTGGTTCCTTATGGTATGGTATAATTGAGCTTTCTGTAACAACATTTTTCCCAGAGGAAAAGTGATAACATGCACCACATCATGAAGCTGTCTAAGTTTTAATTACCTGTTGTCTCTTTTGTATCAGAACCAAAGACTCTGAGACTTTGTAGACTTACTGATTAACAGACATTTAAAAAATGAGTACATACAATAATGTGAAACACTGGAATACTGATCATTGTTACTAAAACTCATTTCTCAAATGATGAAAAACTACTTTAGTGATAGTGTTTACATGGAGGATAAAAGAGAGCTCAGAGTCTAAGATTACACCCAGGTTTTGTATATGAAGCTAAAGAACCAAGCTTCTCTCTGGGTTTTAGTACCAAGGATCAGTATTTCAGGTTTTTTTGTGATTTAGCTGTAGAAAATTTTGCAACATCCACTGAGAAATATCTGACACACAGCTGATAAGCCTGTCTTGCTTATCAGAAGGAATGGAAATGTATAATTGTGTGCCGTCAGCATAGCTATAAAAAAATTGATATTGTTTCCTAGTAACATCACCTAGAGGCAACATGTACAAAGAGCAAAGGCCCTAAAACTGAACCTTGTGGGACTACACAAGAAATGTTACAAATTCTTGATGAATGAAGAGAAACCATGTACTGTTAACAAAATTTATACACTAAAATAGTAAAATTAAATACTAAACTTTAACTAAATATGATGGCATACTCAGTATTCAAGACAGTGGATGAGAACCATGATCAACAGTATCAAAAGCGGTACTAAGATCCAATAAGGCCAGAAGAGAAGGATTTTGTGCATCAGCGCTGAGCCTGGGGTCACTCACAACACGAATGAGACCAGTGCTGTCTCAGTACTACAGCTAGAACAAAAACCTGACTAAAGCTTCTTGTGAAACTTGTTTGATATTAGATATGCTTTTAACTGTGTGAAAACTTTTTTTTTTTTTCTTTAGAAATTTCACTAAAAAGGCAGGTTTGAAAGGTCTAAAATTATTTAGCAGGGAAGGATCCATGCTACTCTTTTTTAGCAGAGGCTTCACCAGGGCAGTTTTAAGCGTCTGGAAAAGCACCTGTTGACAGAGAGCAATTTACAATAGTTAAAACATCTCTTTGAACATGATTAAGAAGAGAAGTAGGGATAAGGTCAAGATCATAAATCAAAAGTGTGAGTGTCTACGTTATGCAACGGTCAGGCTAACGTGACTTTGCACATTCTTCTTTTTTCCTTCTGCTGCCTGCGAGTCCGAAGGAGGGCGGAGCTGAGAGCACCGTGCACTTTTACACTGATCCAGGATCCGCGACTCCAAACCCCAACACGCCTGAACAGCGATTAAACAAACTGCCTGGCTGATCTCAGATCACCCAAGATGGGTCGGTTGTATCAGCGCCGCATTGTTCACACAACAGGGTGCAGGGTCAGGTCAAATTACACTGAACACTGGTGATAACTAGACCAATTTAACTTCTGCTTTTCCCGTGCAATTCCGTGCATTTGGTCTAAGAAACTCGGCCACGACACAGGAGAGAAAATGTCGAAAAAGGTCGCTGTAGTCACCGGAGCAAACAAAGGCATCGGCCTCGCTATAGTGAGAGGGCTCTGTAAGGCAGGATACAGCGGGGACGTGCTTCTCACTGCCCGCAACGAAAAGCTGGGGCTCGAGGCAGTGGAGCTGCTGAAAGCAGAGGGTTATAAAAATGTATTCTTCCACCAACTCGACATCTGCGACCAGACCAGCTGTCTGGCGCTTAAGACTTTTTTGGAGAAAAGCTACGGAGGCCTGGATGTGCTCGTTAACAACGCGGGAATCGCATTCAAAGGTCGGTTTTAAAGGGAATTAGGTAGATTTGTCAAAATGCCCGCACAGGTCAGCGCTGAGCGGTCCAATAAACGATTATTCACTTGAAATGCTGCGTTTCTCGCGTTTGCTACTTCGCTGACTCCACAGTATGCAGAGAAAGCCATTCAAAGCGGTTTGATGTGAGAAACTCAGACCTCTTTACAGTGGTTGTGATAGGAACCAGACGTCAATGCCTCTAAAAGCTTCCCCATAGAAAGCACAGACTGCTATTACCAGCTATTACGAAGGGATTACGAATAGCTTGCAGTTTAGATATTATTTTAGTTTTACGATAAACGTTTGGCCTAAAACTTATTTTAAGTATGCAGAGTGAAGTCACATAAGTCAAAATAGCCATCACCACAACTGAAAAGAAATTTTCACTCGGTACGATTCTCTACAATGCACTATTTCAGCTCAATACAATGCTCAAAAATGAGTTTTTTTTACCTCTCAATGACTGAATTAAGCAGGAATTTTGAACATTTGCCGGAATTGCCCTTTACGTGTTGGACAGAAGCTGTGCAAGGAGAGGCCACATATGTCCCACATTTTCATTCATATCTTCCCAGTTTAGTATAAAAGGTGTCTTGCATGTTTTTAAAGGCCTCATATTCTACAGAAATCCTCGAGTTAATGTACCAAACACAGTCATAATTCATATTCACATCACCTTTCCAGCCTCTCTTTCTTCCTTAGAATTAAATAGATTGTTTTTGTGGTTGTGCACTAAAGGCTGATATATGTAAATGTTCTCTGTTCTAATTGGCTGTCCTGTATTCTGCCTCATTTAAAGGTCTAGACTGAAACACCACAGTAGGCCAAATAGGCAAATATATGTAAATGCATTTATTTTCACAAAACAGTCAACTTGATACAGGCAGTTTTTGCAGTTTCGCTTCTGTATGTAGCCAGTATAGATTGCAATAAGAACAAAGCAGGCTATTACTGAATTGATGCGCAGTTGTTTGTCAGAAATGAATGATGTTTCTTTCTTGTTTATTGTCTGCCTTTTAGTAAAGGCACCAGAGCCATTTGGGGAGCAGGCTGAAGTCACCATGCGCACCAACTTTTGGGGAACACTTTGGGTGTGCCATGCTCTCTTGCCTCTGCTGAGGCCCAATGCCCGCGTGGTTAATGTATCCAGCTTTGTCAGCAAGCGGTCACTTAATGAATGCAACCCTGAACTGCAGGCAAAGTATGACTCCAGTTAAAAATTCACAGTTATTAATTTCTTTTACCTTTTCCCATTCAAATGGGAAATCTCAAAAGGCCAAGACACGTTTGATGTCTAGTTTGCCTTTTTATTGTTGCTCTGTAGTTAGGAGGCTATGTAGCTAACAAGTAATGGAAATATATGGCACTCAAAGTATGTTTGGGTGACAGACACTTCTTTTATATTATATAGCTCCATAGCAATATCAAAGAAGCAGACTTTACACACCAAACACGTCTTGACTGGTCAACTTCATTTGGGACAAAGGGGATCGCCACGTAAATTAGATTTTTATAGTGAATCATTCCTTTAAGACCCAGTGTGGTTGTATTGTTTGTGTTTTCAGGTTTAGAAGCACAGAGATTTCAGAGGAGGAGCTTTGTCTGCTGATGGGGGAGTTTGTTGTTGCTGCGCAGAATGGAGAGCATAAGGCTCAGGGATGGCCAAGCACTGCTTATGGCCCCTCCAAGGTACAGTTCATCTGTAGATAAGACTGTTACAGACTTGTTTTACAGAGTAAGCTCCAGCTAGTTCAGAATGCTGCAGCCCATGACCTTATCAGGATAATGAACATATTACATTGATCTTATTCAATGTACACTGGCTTCCTATTATGTTCCATTTTGAAGTTTTTCTAATAATGTTTGAAGCTGATTCAGGATCAGATTATTTTTAATCATCACACAGCCATTAAATATTAATTATACATTAAATACAATACTATACAGACTGTCTTCACAATCCACACTGCTCACTTTACATTGCCACAATAATTAGAGATGTTGTACAATTGTATGCAAAAGTTTGTCTACCCCTGGCATTTTTTTAAAGTACAACCTCTGTAGCAAACTGTGTGTAAAATAAAATTTTCTGTGGATGTCAATGCACACATGTTTGATTAACTGTATTTAATACACTAGGTACAAATAAAATAGTGATTTTGGCATGTACAGAAGTTTAAACACTCTTCCAGTTGTACAGTCTCAGCACTTAACTTCCAAAAACTCAAAATCCACCATGAGCTACCTCAGTCTCCTGACTTGAACTTCATTAAAAGTTAGATCTTAAACTCACTGTCCATGTTAGACACAACTAGAAGAATTCTACAAGGAAGAGTAGGTGAAAATTCCTAAAACAAGAGTAGAAAGATTTTTAGTTTGCTACAAAAGCTGTTTGCAAGCTGTGGTACATGCCAAAGGGGGTACTGACTTAGCTGGGTGTCCAAATTTTTGCACATGCCATAATTACTGTTTCAGTTTTTTTAAGTTAATCAAATAAAAGGTAACTAAGCATGAACATTTGCTGAAAATGTTGCTATTTAAAATGAGCAAAATAAAAAGTTTGCTGCAGAAGTTGTTTACTTCTTTTCACTTAAAGTCAACAAAATATGGAATTTGGCCAGGGGGGCCTAAACTTCTGCATACAACTGTAGATGACTTAGTCAAACAAATAATATGACAAGTACAGTTCATCCTTGATGCGTAACACAAGCCATAAATTCAGTTCATAAATTAAATTATCCAATGAAATTCAGTGTATTGCAATGGGAAGGAAGCTGTTTTTAAAACAAGTTGTTTGTTAGGCAGAGTTTTAGATCTGGCACATATTTCCAATCTTGAAGCACGAGAGCCCACCCAGACCATGTCACAGAGCAGAGGCTGGCTCACTACCCTCTGGTATAGTGTGCTAGAGAATATTATGAATGCAATCTTTAAAATCCGGATCAGAATATATTTGTTTAGGCTAGCATATGCCTAGTTTAAGAAGTCTGTTTTATGTCCTAGAATTTGTAATTGTGCTTTTATTTGACGATAAAAGGCTGCAGTTCAGTTCCCCACCCAGATGAGCACTACACACTGTCGAATATGAGTCATAGTGATGTTACACTTGCATACCTCTGTAACATGATTAAAATTGAAAGCGTTTCTGGATAAGAGCACCTGCTAAATGCATAAAAGTAAATGTCCGTCTAGGTGCTCATGCACAGGTACTGACAGATGGGTTTTCCATTTCTGAAACAATGTTCAACATATAATGAGTAACCAAGGCTAAAATTCACTGTAGTGTACTGTTATTTTAATTCTTGAGCTAACAAGCTCAAGCTCATTAAGTGATAGCACCTAGTTAGTTGATCCGGTGTAATATACATTATGGAAAATTGTAGTTATCCCTAAAGGTTTAAACCAAAACACTCACTTCTGATTTGACTGTTTAATATAAACTGTTTAAAATATTTTTTTTTGCCTTTCCAGCATTTTCCTTATCTCCCTGTGGAAGAAACATTGAGATTTTTGACTATTATTATTAGTAGTAGTAATAGTATTATTAGTATTGTTATTAAATACTTCTTTTTGTTGACATCATTGATATAAAACTGTCTACAGAAAACTGTCTGACAGAAGGACAGAATAAAGAATGGATAATTTGTTGTTCTGATTCTTTCAGATCGGTGTGACGGTGCTTTCAAGGATCCAGGCTCGTGTTCTCAATGAGACAAGACCCGGTGATGGAATCCTCCTCAATGCATGTTGTCCAGGCTGGGTCAGAACAGACATGGCTGGACCGAATGCCCCAAAAAGCCCAGAGGAAGGAGCTGAAACTCCTGTCTACCTGGCTCTGCTGCCAGAGGGAGCCAAAGAGCCACATGGACAGTTGGTTTGGGACAAAACAGTGCAGGAGTGGTAGCAAATGAGAAAATGTAGTAACAGTTATTCAGGAATGTTAAACTGGCCAAAATAACAATACATGCACGTAGGTGTAACCTCTAGACCCAGCAAGTGTGAAATTCACAGCCTCCAAACTTTATAAATTCACTGGTAGTGATACGGTACATTTCCACCATTACAATCATTAGTAACACCAGCAGTTTATCCAGTTTTGATTTTCTTTACTGTGATATACTTCTTTAGTAATCTTTTTTAATTATTTCATACAGAATCATGAATGTTTTTTACTTAATTTGATAACAACAGTATTTCTTACATAGTTAAACACACATACAAACAGTGTCAAATGGTCAGAGAGAGAGAGGGAGCAGAAAAAAATCTGATTATGTAATATTATCTGTAAGATGAGATCCTAATGCATTTTAAATAAGTTCCAATTACTTTTTAGGCTGTAGGGTGTAACAGAATTATTGGCCAGAGTTAATGGAAGTTTCAAGTATCCCAGGATTAAACAATGGTATAAACTCAAAAATTGAGACAAACTGTATTTTATATGGGTAAATCATATGGGTTCACACCTATGAATGCAGTGTGTATGAAGTAAACCTGAGTATAGCTGATCCTGCATGGAATGAATCCTCCTTTTCATTAACCATGCTGGAGATAATATTCAGAATGAATCCATGAAAAGTACTAAAAACAAAATTATTTGAGGATGAACAGCAATAAAGAGATAAATTAATTGCTCCAGTACCTGTTGTTATACAAACGTTTAATAATAAAACATTTGCATCTAATCACCAATGTCTCTGTTTATGATTTGACCTGGTTTCATGCAAGCTGATCATTGACTCAAGCTTCCAAATGCTGAGTCAGCTTACGTGTTAAGCAATAAATTCTTTTTGTATGCTACAGTAGGCTCCACAAGCTTCTGATGATCAGTTATATTATTTGATGCAGAAGTCTTTAAATCCAGACCTTTAATTCAGATTCTGGTCCTTTGTGATCACTGAACTGTTGATGTAACTGAATGGCTAGCTTGTGTCATACTTATCAGCGATTACATACTTATCAGAAACTAGATTCAAAGTCTGGGTGTGAAACTGGTCTATTGCATCAATTATTATTATTATTATTATTATTATTACAGAATAAACAGAATTTGACATGAATGTGACTTATTTGCGCAGCCCTAGAGCAGTGAAATAACTGGCAGTGCAAGATGGCTGGATCTGCTCCATGTTTTACACCACACCCATAACACTCCTCAATGACTTGCAGGTATTCAAGTGTTATGTAACGTCTGGCTGGCCTATAACAGCTAAACAGAAACTGACAGAACAGGAAGTCTGCGCTGTTCGAACTTGGTAGTTGCAGTCTTTTTTTTCCTTTATTACATTTGACAGTTAAAGGAGCTGCATCTTTTGGCACCATGTCTAAAAAGGTAGCAGTTGTTACTGGTGCAAACAAGGGAATAGGATTTGCGATTGTAAAAGGTCTGTGCGAGGCTGGATTTGCTGGAGATGTAATCCTCACTGCACGGAATGAGCAGCTTGGAAGAGAGGCAGCGGAGAAAGTCAGATCTGCAGGACATCATGCTGTTTTCCACAAACTTGATATAACCAATCAAAGTAGTGCTCTGGAGCTGCAGAAGTTTTTGAAGGAGAACTACGGAGGACTTGATGTTTTGATAAACAATGCTGGGATTGCCTATAAAAGTAAGTGAATTTCAGTCAGCAATCAGCTTTGATGTATGTAGAATTTTATTTAATTATAAAAGTATTCTATTATGAATTAATTTGATTGCGTGAATCTAGGTTTATCAGAACAATATTCAGTCTTTTTATGTATCTCTTTTACCTTCATCATGAAATAAATTATATGTTTTTTTTTGTTAGGTAATGCCACAGAGCCTTTTGGGGAGCAGGCTGAAGTCACTATACACACCAACTTTTGGGGAACACTGTGGGTGTGCCATGCTCTCTTCCCCCTGCTGAAGCCCAATGCTCGGGTGGTCAATATGTCCAGCTTCGTCAGCAAGTGGTCCCTTGCTAAATGCAGCCCTGAACTGCAGGCGAAGTATTCAAACTTTTAACATCATCATTTGGCAGCATCTTGAATTTTTAAATGCAGTTTTAGTATGATTATTGTAGTAATTGCTGCAGTTATTTATATGGAACAAGGACAGGCAGATAAAGAGCAGAACAGAATGGACATGTTTGAGCAGTGGTCAACAACCCTAGTCCTTAAGACCTACCTGCTCCAGAAGTGCTTAATTGGCTGGTTTAGATGCATTGGTATTAGGTAAGGACTTTTACAGCCATGTGAAAGTCACTGTGTAGATGTACTTGGCAGCAGAGGGCAGCAAAGGACAGACACTACAAGTATTTGCTTTGGGAACTAAAATGGTATTTATTGGAAAACATATTTATTTGAGGATGTTATGACACTGTTGTCTGTTTGTTCACTGTGATTTCACTATTGAATAATCTTGGGATATGGCTAATAATTTTAACTTTGAAAATGTCTCACTCACATTGTCACATTGACAAAGCTTCTTTAGCCGACTCATGTTGACTATAATTGCTACATCATAATTATTGTAGTATTTTGTAATATTTGTAAGGATTTCACTAACAGTGTCACAAACTGTTTTATTATTATTACTCTAGGTTCCGTGACCCTGCATTGTCAGAGGAAGGGTTGTGTTCGTTAATGGATGAGTTTGTTGCTGCTGCACAGCGTGGAGACCACGAGTCAAAGGGTTGGCCAAACACTGCTTATGGCACCTCAAAGGTACTATTGAGAATTTTCTCTATCTGTGCTAATACAGACAATACAGAAATACTGTCACTTTCTCTCTCTCTCTCTCTCTCTCTCTCTCTATGTATAATGTTATGTGTTTATCTACCTATATACATACTGTCCCAAAAAGTTGGTATTCTGTTTGTCCTGTATTTAACTGAAAATGGTACAAAAATAGAATATTTGATGTTTCCCCTTATTAACTTCGCTGTTTTTTTTTATAACTATATGCGCATTCCAAAATAGGAGCATGTTTACCACTGCGTTACATCACCTTTCCTTTTAACCACACTTAATAATCATTTGGGCACTAAAGACAACAAATGATCCAGTTCTGAAAGCATAATTTTTTCCCATTCTTCTGTTATACAGATCTTCAGATGTGCAACCATACAGGGCCTTTGTTGTTGTATTTTGAGACCTTTCAAATAGGAGACAGGTCTGGACTGCCGGCAAGTTAGTCTAGTGAATGCACTCTCCAATTATGTAACCATGCTGTTGTAACACCTGCAGAATGTTTCTTGATGATGTCATAGGGAAATATGCATTAACATCCCTGGTAAAGACGGCATCTAAAAGGCAGCATGAGTTGCTCCAACATATGTTCAGCATTAATGGTGCTATCACAGGCAAGCAAGTTACCAATTAATACCCCTCAATACCATGACAGACCCTGGCTTTTGAACTTTATGCTGGTAGCAGTCTGGATGTGCATCAGTCCATTTCAGATGAGTTTGAGCCCAAAGACATCAGCAGTGTGTCTAGACACTGTTGATATATGACTGCTGCTGTGCACAGTACAGTGTTTATTGACCACAGCTTTTCAAAGTATTTAAGTACTGAGATGGTTTTTTGAACATTTCACAATGTTTCCCCTTTAATTGAGAAAATGTAACATTCCTTTTAAATGTAAAAGTAACATTCAGCCTAAGGCTTTAAAGTCTCATTGTTATCTGTTTGTTTTTTAATCATTACAGATTGGGGTGACTGTGTTGTCGATGATACAAGCACGTGCACTTACAAAGGCAAGAGCAGGTGATGGCATTCTTGTAAATGCATGCTGTCCGGGCTGGGTGAGAACAGATATGGCTGGCCCAAATGCTACGAAGAGCCCAGAGGAAGGAGCTGAAACTCCTATGTATCTGGCTCTGCTGCCAGAGGGAGCAAAAGAGCCACATGGATGTTTTGTGTCAGAAAAGACTGTAGAAGAATGGTAGCTCTATTGTTTACACCGTGGGTAGAAACTCACTGTGACTTTGCAGTTCTCAGTAAACTCCCTATGACTGGCAGGTACCTTTTATAGTTCAGTCACTGCTGCTGCTGTCTCCTGGATAGCAATGGATGCCTTTGATTTTTACATGATCACCTCATTAATTTCAGCTAAATGTTTTTTTTATTTCAGAAATAGGGGTATAATTGTTTGAGTATTGATTGGGGTATGAATAATAGGTGTATTAGTTGTACTTTTTTTTGATTTGTTACACTACATTTGAATGGACATCTGCCTTAGAAGTAGAAATAAAAGTCTGGTTTTTAGCCATATCAGGTGCAGTGGCTCAATTTTAATATTATGAATGAATGAATGGTCAAATATTACCTTCAGTATGTGCATTATGGTAAAAATAATAATGTGGTGGTCCAGGCAAAAATCAACCCCAAATGTAGTCAATCAGCGAAAACTTGTTTGGTGTCCAGAGTTTTTATCTTTAGTTTTGCAGTGGAGCTACAAAGCTAGTGTAGCTAACAAGTAAAGAGCCTTACAGCTGCCAGGTTAGCATAGTGTAAACTGTGTGCTTAATCTTCACATATTTGTGTCAAACCCATTCAAGTTGTTGAATTAGTTTCTAACACTAAAACTACTATAAATGGACAAAAGTGCATTGCTTAGCTAACAATAATAGCAGCAACTATCATGAGGCCTGAATTTTGCCAACACTTGTGTCAGTTTTTATAGTTAGCAATATGCCATACTGTACCAGAAACCACACAAACAAGTCAATCTGAAACTACTTGATGTGTAAGTGATAATTTATTCATGCAGTTTGCCGGAAGCCAATATGTTCACTTCTGTTAACTACGTTAGCCTCATAGCTCCAGTGCAGAACTAAAGAAGCAAACTTTGGACACGTCTTGATTAGGTACATTTGGGGTTAAAAGGAAACTTGTGTACATTTGATTTTTTGCCAAACCATCCCTTTAAGGAAAGCCCCTTTCCATTTGTCCTTGGTTATTTAAGCACAGCACGTCCACCGCTGTGTGTTTGCTAAGTCTCCAGTCACAAGACAACATGTTGACAGGATATTTTCTTTCCTGAACACCTGGAACAGACGTAGGGATGAGGAATATAATGCTGTTTGTTTATGATTCTCTACAAGATGGTTCTCCAATAACATAACAGCACTCCCTTTGATTGCTTATGTAATATGTCGGGTGGATTTGATGAATTATTCATGGAGTTCATGAACCATCACAAAAACACCAGTTTGAAAAGGAAGATGGAGTACAGTGAGCACAGCAAAGAAATCAGATGATGAAAAGAACCTCAATTAGTGTGTGTTTGTTTATTTTACTCGTATACAAATTTAGCATGTGGAATGGCTTTAATGAACATGTGTCTGAGACCACTGCCCCAAGCAGAAAAGCTTTGGTCAAAATCAACAGTACAACCACCTTTCAAAGAAATGTTTCTGTGGTGTTGTTATGAAGTATAGAATATTATTGCTTACAATGGCTTCAAAAAAAGGTAATATCCACATGCAAGCAAAGACAAAACACTTAAATGGGAATTCTACTGATTTTCTAAATTTCTCCATAATTCAGCGGCTGAGATGTAAACAAAGCCATTCAGAGTGGTTTGATGTGAAATGTTTCATTGTAGGGAAAAATACAGACAGACAGGTTTATTTACAGCGGCCATGATGGGAACCAGGGCTCATGATGTCACACAAATGTAGCCATTTTATTTAGCATCCAAAACCACCAGTGAACTCACACATCTTCTCATTTATTATAAATAATGTTGATAATGGTAAAATAGTGATAAGCTATTTTTCTTTGCAAATCCCTGCATGTACCTCTCCATGATAAATTTATAAAGAAGGCTTGGACCAAAACCTATTATCTAACCTACCGTAAAATAATGTGTCAGGCTTCAGGCGGCATACTTGAAACCATTTTGTGTGATAACTTTCTGTGAGCTAGCTTTTAGAGACATTAAACTCTTCAGACATCTGGTTCCTATCATCACTACTGTGAACAATTCTGACTCAGTAAGTTTCTCTAGAAAGAAGCATTTCACATCAAACCACTATAAATGAGTGTGTTTACATCCGAATCATTAATTACCCAGAAAGATTGTAAAATCAATGGAATTCCCCTTTAACTCAGCTAAGCACAGAGCTGCAAAAACAATAATCTCACATATGGGGGAGTTTTCTGTTTTTGCTCAAATCAAACACAAGCAATTTGCTTTGATTATGCAAACACAAATGCACTCTCAATGGCGTAATCCCTTTTAAACATACATTTGAGTGCTACCAACAGAGTATCAATATATCAGGTCCAGAACCATAAATTCATGTTCATCTAAATAGTTCCAATTATTAAGATAAACATAAAGTCCAGCATTCAGAGAATTCTTCAGAGATGGAAAACATGGAGACAATGAATGGTCCACATGGACAAAGTATACATATGACGATAAGATAAATTTTCACTTTATTACCTCTATGGGTCATAACTGTCTAGAAAACACTGAACTCATAAACTGAAAGCATAAAAATAAAGTCCATGGAAAATAACACAAATGTCAGACTTATTAAATTGTCCATAGATTAATGCTTTTCTCTTGTACCTATGGCTGCCTTCTCAGTATGGCGCTGTCTCCTCTCCACTCCGCTCAGCAGAGAGACTGTGAAAACCATGTGGTCCATTCAGCTACATTTGCAAGTCTTCACAATCATATTTGACAGTTGTTCTACCTGCGGTAATACAGTTTGTGTTTCAGTCAAAAAGCTCAAAATGAAACCCACCAAATTTACATTTTTATTTTGTTAGTGTAACTAAATGAGGAGGGTACTGTAGCAGTGTGCCATATTGTGTTGTGGTACTAACCTTATGTTGCCTCCCCACATAGTACAGGATGGGTAAAGGATCCAGGACCTGGGGCACACAGCAGGGCTGGGCTGACGCTCCAGGATTATGATGTTTGTACAGTGCCAATACCTGTCACAACCATATAAATGCAGTGTCAAACGTGCTAAGCGGTGGAACTAGAGAAAGGTTTATGCATGTATGCATACACCACTGACTTGTTATATCAAGCTATTATCACAAACCTCAATTCAAAAAGAATAGGACAGTATATGAAATACCAATAAAAACAGTGATTAGTAAATTCTGATTGACCAACTTGAAAAATTTGATGGTTTACCTTATGAACTTTATTGTTATTATATTTTTTAGTAAATATACCCTCATTCTAAATTTGATGCCTGCAACACGTTCCAAAATAATTGGGACAAGAGTATGTTTGCCTCTGTGTTATATCACCTTTCTTTTTAACAACACTTAATAATCGTTGAGTACAGGGCTTTTTTTATTGTATTTTGTGCTTCATAATGCACCACACTTTCTCAATAGAAGACGGGTCTATACGCACATTCTCTGATTACACAGACATGCTGTTGTATCATGCACAAAGTGGTTTGGCATTGTAATGTAGAAAAAAGCATGGCCGTTCCTGAAGAAGAGGTCATCTAGAAGGCAGCATATGTTGCTCCAAATCTATGTATATATTTTTCAGCGTTAATGGTGCCTTCACAGATGTGCAAGTTACCCATGTCATAGGCACTAATACACCCCCATACCATGACAGTCCCTGGCATTTGAACTTTACGCTGGCAACAATCTGAAAGGTGCCTTTCTTCTTTACATAAACAATCTAAAATTAACTCAGTAAAATGCAATTCATGTTTCCACTGTGGTTTCCACTGTGCATCAGTCCATTTCAGATGACCTCAAGCCCAGATACGCTGGTGGTGTTTCTGGACATTCTTGACATATGGCTTCCAGTACAGTTTTAACTTGCACTTGTGTATGCTGCAACCATAGGTAATTATTGATAATGTTCTTTCAAAGTATTCCCGAGCCCACGTGGTAATATCCATAAGAAACAAAAAACAATTAATACAGTAAAACATAAAATACCTTGTTTTTGAATTGTTTTCAAATACAAATCAAAGTGGGTTCGCACTGCTTTTATTTGCATTTCACATACTGTCCCAACTTTTTGGAACTGGCGTTTAATTTGTAATGTGTAGTGTGTAATTTACCAAACACTCCTGATAATCAAATCCTGTTACTACTGTGGAAATTGGCTGTTCTTTCAGTCTATTCATTGATCACAGTTACACCTTTGACCCTTTGGGATTGGTTTCCCAGACATGGATTAAGCCTACTCCTATAGTACATATTTACTTTAAACATTACGTTTATGACATTTGGCAGACACTTTTATCCAGAGTGACTTGCAATTTGATCATTTTTTTACACAGCTGGGCAAAGGCAGTGTTAGGAGTCTTGCCCAAGGACTCTTATTGGTATACTGTAGGGTCCTTGCCCAAGCAGTCTACAGTATAGAAGGCAGAGATGTTAACCACTACTCTATACCAACCACCACATTAACAATGTACTGCCCAATTTCAGCTATTTTACGAAGCCCGGACCTGTAATATTTGTATATTAATAATGATATTTCATATCTTACTTGCTAATGCAAATAGAGTACTTAAATAAGCTACATTACCTGTGAATACTTATTTTCTGCGTTCCACACATAGGAGCAAGAGCCAATACAGTAGTTGGCATAATAGCCAGAAGGTTCATGTATCCATTTCCAGCCTAAGTCCTTCCGAAAGTCTATATAAAGTCTCCTCACACAACAGTTCTCTGACTGCCTGGATGAAATATAGAAATGTTACATGTAAGAAACAGTGAAGCTTCTAAAATGAAGAGAACACAGTTGACAAAATGCAATACAGAACAGAAGAGATTAGACAGAAAATTAGCTTTTGTTTCTTTGTGGTGTGATATAAGTACGTGCATATTTTTTTAAAGAAATTAAAAGGCCTCAACTCAGAACAAACTTCTTCTGCTGCAGCTTGCCGCTTCCTCCTTGAGGTAAGCTGACTGTGGCGCTCCACAGGAAGTGACATCACTAGAATGTGTGGCTTCTTTTGCATTCTGGACTGTAGGATTGCTCTGTCTCCCCTTTCAGTGGGTATGCCTGCATGTGCATAAGTCAGGACTGGTTAGTGGTTTAAGGCTATTAATTGTAGATTTAAAAACTTTTTTTAAGAACTTAAAAGTAAAGGTAGGCGACACGGCAAAAATGTAATAACGTGATATTTAGCAGCGACTTCACGATACACAGTACAAAATGTACTCTATATTCAAAATTTTAGTTTTTCTGAGGTTTGCTGATAAGTTGGACAAAAGGCACCAACAAAATATTAATGCCAAATTAAAATGAATTAAGTAAA